CGGAACTGGGGATTGAACTCAGACCCTTGTGCTTGCCAAGGAAGCACTTATTCCACTGATCCATCTCCCCGGCCCTGAGAGAGGGGTCTTAATGCCCAGGCTAGCGTTAAACTTTTGATACTCTTGCCTTAGACTCTCCAGTAGCCGGTATGCCTAGCTAGATTGAGGGAATTTCGGATTTAAGAGTTAATAGTTCAAGGAAACAATATTGTAAGTGCTCCTTCTACCTGTATTTTCACTGTAAGTTCTCTGGATTGTAAATTTGGTGTTTCAGTTTTGATTGTATGTGAATAAGGAGAAGGATAGAATGTATGATACTGCAAGCTAAACATGGATTTGTAAGACTTACTTTGGAATGACTTCCACTTATCTAGTCTTTAAGATTTACTCTCTTAACAGTTATATAGAGTTGAATTTATTTTTCAAATTTGGACAAAAAGTATTCTAACAGGGCGTATTGTTAATAAGTACCTATATTTGGAGCTAGTAGCTTTTTAAAAAGTAAATTTTGCAGTGTAATCATTTAATCAGATAAATAATGGGCAGACCTGAACATGTCAATACAAAAGCACAGTACGAGGCTTATTTCATGAATACCTAAAAGCAAACGTGGCTAAGAAATTGTAGTATTTGTGTGGTATATGGTAATACATTAGACCCAAAAGAAGTTATCTAGAAGTAGTTTGATTTTTTACATACCATGTTTCCTGAATTTTAGGTCTATTCCACGAAAAACAAAAACAAAACAAAGTGAAAAAATGGCTGCGAAGGAGAAATTGGAGGCGGTGTTAAACGTGGCCTTGAGGGTGCCCAGCATCATGCTGCTGGATGTGCTGTACAGGTGGGACGTCAGCTCCGTCTTCCAGCAGATCCAAAGAAGTAGCCTCAGTAACAACCCTCTGTTCCAGTACAAGTATTTGGTCCTCAATATGCATTATGTAGGTGAGTATCCCCACCGCATTTTCTAATCTTATTGTGAACTTATGATTTAGGCCTTTGTAGGTAGTCAGAATTTGGGTCCAATGAGTTTCACTTATGCTAAGCTTACTAATAATTAAATAATTGTATATCCATGTTGTTTATTTGCCTTAGTTAAATAATTGGACGTATGTCTTAGTTATTTGCCTTATTGCATATGAATTATTATTATTTTTTTAATATTTATTTATTTTTATTTATTACATTTATTTATTGTGTGTGTGTGTGGCCAGCTCACCCCACCAGGGGGCGGGGCTGGCTGGCATGTGGTGCTGGGGATCGAACCGCGGTCCCTGTGCTTTGCCAAGCTTGTTTCAAGTAGGTGCTTTAGACCACTGAGCCATCTCTCCAGCCCCTGCATATGAATTATTGAGGCTAGAGGAAAGTAAGCAGTATTTTAGTAGATATAACTGGAAAGCAAAAGAAAACCTTTTGCCTTTTAAAATGATGAAATGTGAATACTGAGATGTTTTGCTGCTTCTGATTTGTCCTTGTTTAAAGTTTGTTATTTGGGGAAAAGTAAGATTTTTTTTTTTTTTTAAGTTCAATATTCTGTGTTGTTGCCTGATACAAGCTAATTTTTTTTTTCTTCTATTTTTGGTGCTGGAGATTGAACTCAGGGCCTTGTGCATGCTAGGCACTCTACCACTGAGCTACAGCCCCAAGCCAACAAACTAAAATATTAATACCAGTAGGAGATAGTGTTCATTTCAGTTAAATGAGATGTATGCAATGGTACTGTACTATATTTTCTTCCTTAAAAAACATTCTTGGCATTGTAATTGGTATACTTCAAGTGTTGTGGTAAAAGTAATAATGAAAAATTAAATAAATTAATGTCGAGAAATACAGGCATGGGACAGATAAAATTCATTCTTCTAGAATAAAAGTATCCCTAATATAAATATTTAGTTTATAGGTAATGTGACACTTTTATTAACATTGCCACTGCCTAAATCTGCATATGGTATATGATGGGGGTTTTGATGGCATAGTAAAGAGGTTTTTTGTTAATATTTTTATCCCTAGAATTTGTTCTTCACAATTTGTATCTTTTGTAAAATTGTGAAAGGTTGTTCTCCTTCTGTGAGATCTCTATATTTTTATGTGTAGGACTTTCTGAGTTCTAAAACAGCCTGAAAACCCCCATGCCTCTAAGAGAGAACCAAGCGAGCCACTGTGGGAGGAGTGGGCTAATAGCAAAGACAGTGTGCTAGAAACTCACCTCTCGTCCGTGGTTCTACCTCAGAAAGTCTGTGAAGTAAGATGCCTTTGGGGTGCAGAACACTGTAGTTGTCAGCCCTTTATTAAAGGTTTTGTATGTTAGCCAGTTTAAGGAAAGTAGTCCAGTCAGTTATAGAACAAGTGAGTACTTGGCCAAGATTTTGAAATGCTTAATCAGCAAATACACTAGTTTTAAAAATGTGCTTGTCATGTATTATTTATTGAAAGATTAAAATATTTATTAGAAAAAAATCTCCCTAATAACCAGAAACATTAATTTTCAAAGTTGACTAGGGCATGCTACAGTTGAAATTCATACTCAGGCTTAAAACCTTGGGAATTCAAGTGCATTCTGGGGTAGAGAAGGCTTAGTTTATATGAGTGGATATTCTCAGCTTGACTAGTTTGATTGGCGTATCTTCGCAAAGTAAATAATGCTTCCTGAGTACATGGTAAATGTTCTGATTCTGCAGTGTTTTCATTTTTCATGCTTATTTCTGTGTCCCTTTTAGAACTTACCTGCATGCACAGAGGATTACATCTATTTTGTTTTTTCTAGGTAACTATTGAGAAGTCTCCACAAGATATTTTTCTCCATTCTGAACATTTGCTGGTCTTTTGTTTATCTGCCCATTTTTGTGGACTATTAGCACTGTTTTATTTATTGACTTAAATCATATTTTATTAGCTGATAGTTAGACCCTTCATTTTCCTTATTTCGAAACTCTTCAGTGTTTTTATTGTTTCCTGTAGAACTTAATTACCTCGTGTAGTCCTCAAAAAACCTGTTAATCCTCTTATTGAGATGCATTATTAGCAACATTTTAAGTTAGAACAAAGTGATAGTTTAATAGTGCTCTTTGTGTAAGAACACAGTCTATCGTCAGAATTTGTCTTGGATACTTCTGGAGTGTTTCATTAATATTTTCTTCAAGTGGGTATTATTATTATCATATTTAGTACAGGGTCTACAGGCTCTCACCACACAGATCAAACTTGTAGTGATCTTCCTGTTTTCAGCCTCGCGAGTGCTGAGATGACAGGTGTGTGCCACCACATCCAGTCTCAGTTGCTGCTGTCTCAGCGTGCCCCAGGGCAGGGCTGGCAGGGCACACTGGAGATTGAACCCGGCTCCTGCGTCTGCCGAAGCAGGCACTTTAATCCGCTGAGCTATCTGGCTGGCCCTTTTCACATGGGTTTTAGACATTTGTACATATTTTCTTTTTATTGCTTGGTATAAAAATTCTGCTGAAACTGCCATCACTGAAATCATTAGAGACCTAGTAAAATTCAGGCCTCGTTTGTGTTCTTGTTCTGTAGGCCTTTTCACGTTTATGAAGCTGTGGACAACTTTTCCTTTGTTGAAAATGTCATTTCTCTTTGCTAATTCTTTATTGTTTTTTGTGGTACTAGGGATTGAACTCAGGACCTTGTGCTTGCCAGGCAGGCACTTATGTGGCTGAGCTATCTCCCCATCCCCCTTTTTCCTAATTCTGACCATTTTTTCTGAATCTTTTTTTCCCTTTGGACTTCAGTACTGATGTTGCCTAGAACTTGCGCTTTCATCTTTGGTTGTTGGGTGGATGTCACAAAATTTTGGCTACCAGTCTCTGACTTGACTTTCTACTGCTTTGTAACCCCCTTAGTCTGGGGTGGGAGTTCTGCCTCTGTGACCCATAGTTCATTCAGTTCACATGCTATCATGGTTCTTACTGTGCTGCACTGAGGCTCTTTGTACTTAACATCTCTTCCCAGCTAGGTTGTGAACTTTATATTCAGAAAAGGGTTGTCTGTTATCTCAATATTCCCAGCACCTAGCTACTGTCTGATCCATAATGAAGAAACTTGTAACCATAGATTAAGCCCCTTTGCAAACACTTCCCTCAGTCACTGAACTAGCACCTTTCCATCACTTCAGACCTTTCCCTCTGCTTTTATTTCTCATAAGCTGCCTTGATTACCCAGAATAGAGAGATTAGAACTACTTTCATTTCCTTGTTTCCAGCCACTCGTCCACTGACCAACTTAAAATCTGTTTAAATGTACAGTATATCCTGTAGCCCACTCTTCCAGCTCCATACCTAACCGGTGATATTTTAATCCAGGCCCCTGTTTTCCTCTAGTACCGTCACTTGTTTAAATAGTAAAAATTAATAGATTGAGCAGTGTTGTTTTAAGGATGTCTACATTTCTAATTTTGGGGGGCCTTTTAATTATACATTCTATTAGGTTAGTGTCATTGTTACCTGCTTTATGGGATTCCATTCTATGGGATAGCCCCCTAGAATGAATGATGAAACTTAGGTTTTGAGTAAGAGTGAAAAGAGTTTTGGATAGTAAAGAGGCTGATCTGCCTTGTTAAGGGAGAAGGAAGGGAGCAGTTTATGCTTGTGCAGTCTAAGAACGTGGGCTCTGGGCACCATGAGATACAGAATGGCCCCTGAGAAATAAGGATGTGTTTTTGTGATTGTTGTAGGAGCTTTTTAACTATTCGTAACACATATATGGGGTGATATCAATTTGAAAGCAATAAAATAAATTCTTTGAGTCAGATTCTTCATAGAAAAACGGTTTAGACCAGATTTCTTTTGTTCTTCAGAGAAATTGAAAACAAAGTTGAAGAGGCCTTAGAAGATAAGAGGAAATCTATGTCACAGAGCCAAAGAATAATGGGGTTTATAGGGGTTTTTCTCTGCTGGTGAGCAGGAATGTCTTGGTCCATTTCCTTGTCCCAAGGGCATCATACCAGTGTGATCCCTAGTGAGAAGTTTCAGTCCTTGCATAGTCAGCAGCCTCTTTTTTTTTTTTTTTTTTTGTTCTGGGGGTTGAACTCAGGACCTTACGCTTGCCAGGCAAGTGCTTATTCTACTGAGCTATCTCCCCAGCCCTGCCAGCAGCCTCTTGGAAGGGCCTGGGAGAGGAAAGCTGTTGCTTCGTGGTAGATGGAAGCAGAATGCTAAGGGAGAAACCAGGGAAGAAGGTACACCCTGCCAGGTAGCTTTGGGGACACCTACATGTAAACCATAGCACCAAGGGTAAAGCAAGATGTGTTATTGAAAGTGGGCTCCAAGTTTTCTCAGAGTACAAGATGAAAGGGGTTGTAGATTATGGGAAATGAAGGAAATAGATGGTTACAAAAGATAAATATTGGGCTGGGGAGGTAGCTTAGTGGCATAAGCACCCGCCTAGCAAGTAAGTGCAAGGTCCCGAGTTCAATCTCTGGTACCACAAAAATAAATAAATAGGTGAGTCAAAATGGAAGTATTGGGTACAGATAATTTGAAACATTTGTCAGTGGAATGAAAAAAATTAGAATCAAAGAAATCATTGTAGAGAAGTGTTTTCTGTTTCCAAGATGGGCAAGAGCCCTGTACTTTCTTTTAAAAACAAACTGTCAGGTGGAATAATTTGAAGATGTAGGAGAGAGAAGGTTTTCAACTTGGAGAAATAAGATGTTGAAATCAGTGAGAGGGGCAGCCATGGAGAGATCTAGTTCTTCCTCTGCCGCTAGAGAAGGAGATAAAATTGACGTAAAACAAGAAGTGGCAGAGGGCAGGTTGATGACAAGAGGAGTCACGTTACACCTTTGTGTCTGTATTTGACTACAGAGTCAGAAAATTACCTAAAAAATGTCAAATGCGAAACGTTTTTGAATAACAAAAAAAAATGTAGTGATGTTACTGTGCTCCATGTACTCTGATAATGATATAAAAGCCTCAGAAGGTGAACTCTAAATGGAAAATAATCTCTTTCTTGTATAGTTAATTGGGAAGCTGAATTAAAATTATATTTTATTTCTTTTAATTTCTACCACAGGTTATATCTTAAGTGTTGTGTTACTCACCTTGCCCAGGCAGCATCTGGTTCAGCTTTATTTATATTTTTTGACCGCCCTACTCCTCTATGCTGGACATCAAATCTCCAGGTAAGCGTGACTGCACATTGGAAATATGTGACTGAATTTAAAGTTTCTTTTGTCAGTAAAGTGATTTTCATAGACACTGTTAAGCCAACAGGTTTGGTAGGTATATAAAACTCATTTTTTATACCTATTTTTAAGTAAATTTGGGGATAGGTTCAAAGTTTTATTGTTTCTTTAGTTACAGGGAAGCTTAAAACTAAGTCTTAAGGTTATACATGCTTAAAGATACTTTTGAGCTTTCCTGTATTGCCTGAGAAAACAATTTCTAAAGCCAGGCGGGAAGAACATCTTAATCTTAATTCTGTGGACTTTGTTACTTTCATCATGTTTAGAAAATCAACTCTGCCTTCTTAGGTGTGGTGTGACACCCATAAGGCCTCCATGTGGGAGGTGGGCAGGAGTACCGTGTTCAGAGCAAGCCTGGACTCCATACTAGTGAGTGCAGAACCAAAAGCCAACCTGAACCTAAACTACTTTTCCTCAGAACAAACAAAACCCCAAGAAAGTTGATGTATGGTCTGTGCGAATCAGCATAATCTGGAGCCATGTAGAGTGGATGAATATTGTATATTATTTAGATTAACGGTTTAGCTAAGAAATTACCATTTTCACGTATATTATTTGTCTCTGTGGTTCTACCAGACCTAAAATCTAAGACTGCCAAAAAATGTCAGCTTTCTAATGTGGAACAGACTGTTAAAATATAGGTGACAAAAGTGACATTCTGATGTAACAATAGAATAAGTTTTGGAGGTCCAATCTTTTTTTAAATTTAAATTTCATAATTTTGATTGAAATATGTATAATTATAATAAAAAAATATGCTTCCCAGTTCTGAGATTAGCAGTTGTACTGTAACAAGTCTAAAATGCAGATTTTGGTGTTGCCTTGCTTTTTAAGACCTTAGAAATCGCATTTTTTTATTAGTAGAATTTAGTCCTTGAGTTTTAAAAGCACGCTTTTTTTCTAATTGTAAAATCACAGTGTTCACTGTAGACAATTTTTTTTTAAATATTTATTTATTTTTATTTATTACATTTATTTATTGTGTGTGCGTGTGGCCAGCTCAGCCCACCAGGGGGCGGGGCTGGCTGGCATGTGGTGCTGGGGGATTGAACCGCAGTCCCTGTGCTTTGCCAAGCTTGTTCCAAGTAGGTGCTTTAGACCACTGAGCCATCTCTCCAGCCCTCCATAGTCTTATTAGAAGTCTGAGGTCCAGTACTGATGCAGACACCCTTATGTCCTCACCCAGCGCGGCTCACCTGAAACCTGTAACCGGTGTGTTGCTAGGTACTGTCTGGACTCTGCCAAATCTCAGTTCAGGGTCAAATTGACCTATCCCTGGTGTCACATACTGTGTCGCCCCTGCACTGTGCTGGCCACTGAAACCAGGTGTGGTGGTACACACCTATAATCCCGGCACTAGGGAGGCCGACACAGGAGGACCACTGAGTCTGAGCTGCATAGTGAAGCCCTGTACCAAATAAATAAATGAAAGGTTTTTATTTTATTTTATTTTTTAAGGTAAAACTGTTACTTTTAAGTTATAGTTCTGTGTAGAAAATCAACAGCCTTTTTTTTGTGTGTGTGTGTGTGGCCTGCTCAGCTTGCCCTGGGGGCAGGGCTGAGCTGCATGGGGTGCCTGGAGCCAACTGCTGTCCCTGTGGTTGCCCAAGGAATTCTGTTATGTGGGGACACACAATGGCTTGAGATGCTAAGAAGGAAAGCTTTTTCTGACCTTTCTTTTTGGGGCAGTTTTTAACTTTAATTTTAGTTTATGGGATATTTTGTTATAGAAAATTAAAATATTAATAAAAAGAATTCTAGGGCTGGAGAGATGGCTCAGTGGTCTAAAGCACCTACTTAGAACAAGCTTAGCAAAGCATCAGGGACCGCGGTTCAATCCCCCAGCACCACATGCCAGCCAGCCCTGCCCCTTGGGGGCTGAGCTGGCTTCTCTCTCTCTCTCTCTCTCAAATAAATAAATAAATAAATTTAAAAAAAAAATAAAAAGAATTCTAATAATGTAGTGGCTCAGACTACTTCTGTTCATACTTTATTCTTTAGATTTTTTTTTTTTTTTTTTTAAGACAGGATTTTACTGTGTAATTTAAATTGGTCTTGAACTCGCTATATAGCCAGGCTGGCCTTGAAATCAATGGTGATCCATGTGTTTGGCCTCCAAAGTGCTGGGATTACAGACTGATCTTGATGGTTTGCTGCATCCTGTTTCCCAGTATGTCATTGAGGATTTTTGTATCTGTTCATAGGCAGATCAGTTCTCTCCTTTTGGTGGGATCTTTTCTGGTTGGTGTTCTTTCTAGGAATGAATATGAGAGTATTATTTCCCTTTCAATTTCATTAAACAGTTTGAGAAGTAGCACCGTGGTCTTGTCTAAATTTCTTGTAGGGTTCACTGGTGAGTCTGTCTGGTCCTGGGCTTTTCTTTGTTGCTAAGTAATTTTTAATTATATCTTCAGGCTGGGGAGGTAGCTCAGCGGCCTAAGTGCCTGCCTGCCAAGTGCAAGGACCCAAGTTCGATCCCTGGTACTGCATGCCACGCCAGCCTGCAGGCCACTAAAACTGGGCGTGTTGGCACATACCTATAATCTCAGTGCTGGGGAGGTTGAGACAAGAGGATCACCATGAGTTAGAGCTTCAGTAGTGAAACCCTGTACCAAGTAAATGATATTTTTAAAAAATTTAAACCTTCAGTTTTATTAACTGGTATTGGTTTGTTTAGAATCTATAGCTTCTTGATTTAATTTTGGTGATTTATATGTATGTAGGAATCTGTCCATGTATTCTGTGTTTTCCATCTTACCAGAATACAGGTTCTGAAAGTAGATTTTGATAATCTGGATTTCTGGAGGATCTGTTGGAATTTTACTCTTTTCATTCATAATTCCATAAATCTGGGTCTTTTCTTTTTTTTTATAAGGTTGGGTAAGGGTTTTATCAGTTTTATTTAATCTTTGTAAGAATCAGCTCTTTGATTCATTGATTCTTTGTATTTTTTAGTCTCTGTTGCATCAATTTCTGCTTTGATCTTTATAAATCCTTGTTTTAAGCTTTGGGTTTGACTTGCTGTTCTGTTTCTAGAAGCTTGAGTTTCACCATCAAGATCTTTATGCTTGCTCTGTTTTTTCTGATACAGGAATTTTCTGCTTTCAATTTCCCTGGTAGTAGTGCTTTCATTGTATCCCATCAGTTCTGGTGCATTGTACTGGCATTATGATTTAATTGTAGAAACTGTCTAATTTCTTTAATTTCATCTGTGACCCGTTGTTTGTTCAGGAAAATGCTATTTAATTTCCATATGTGTATGAAGTTGTGGTTTCTTTTTCCATTGATTTCCAATTTCATTGTGATATGGTCTGATAATATGTGTGGAATAATTTCAGTTCTTTTCCATTTACTTAAGCATGCTTTATGAGCCAATGCGTAGTTTGCTTTAGAGAACATCCCATAGGTAGCTGAGAAGAATGTGTATTTGATATTGTGGGGTGGAACTTTATAGACATCTACTAAGTAAGTCTGTTCAAAAATATGGTTCAGTTGTGATATATCTTTGTTGATTTTTGTTTGTTTGCTTTTGGTATAGTAGATCTGTTTGTGACAGTGGAGTTTTGAGTTATAATTGTATTAGTGTTTACTTCATTTTTTATGTCTGTTAATATTTGTATATGTAAGTTGGGTGTGCTGGCATTTGTTGCATATATATTTGTGATAATTATCTCTTCCTCAGATTGTTCCCTTCACAAGGGTATTGTGGCCTTCTTTGTCTCTCTCTATCAGTCTTGGCTGAAAGTTCACTTTGTAAATAGAACAGGTATCCCTGTTTTTTTCTGGGTTTCTGCTGTGTGGAGTATTATTTTCCATTCTTTGACTTTCAATTTGTGAATTTCTTTTTGAATTAAATGTGTTTCTTTTATACAATATATTGTTGGATCTTTCTTCTTGATCCTTTCTGCTAGTTTGTTTCTTTTGATTGATTAATTGATGCCATTCACAACTGATTTGTAATGACTTACCTTGTCTTGTTATTTTCCTGTCATCAGCCTTGCCCCCCCCATTTGATTGCTTGCCTTGAGTGGTAGATTCATTCTATTGGGGTTCATGGAGTTACAGTCCTTGTTACTTCTTTCTAGAATGTCCTTCAGAACATTTTGGAGTCCTGGTTTGGTGGTCATGAATTTCTTCAGATATTCTTAATCATAGAACATCAGTTTTGAAAGATAGTTTTGTGGGATACATAAATCTGGGTTGAAGGTTATGTTCTTTTCCAGCTTGAAATTCTTCCTTCCAAGTGCTTCTTGACTTGAGGATTTGTGTCAAGAAGTCTGCAATGATTTTTTTTAAGGGATGCAGTGATTTTGATGGGCTTTCCTTTATAGGTTGTTTCTTTTTCTCTAACAGCTTTTAATACTGTTGTGCAGAATTTTGAGAATCTTGACTACTATGTTCTTTGGAATAGATTTCTTTTGATTATGGCTAATTGGAATTGTAAATGCCTCAATTACCTGTAAGTTAAATTCTTTTCCTTGCTTGGGAATTTTTCACCATTACTTCTGTGAAGTTTTTTTTTTTAAATGTCATTTGTATTATCTGCTGCTTTTTCTTCCTTTTTTTTTTTTTTTGGCTCTGAATGCCTTCAGGGCAGCTTTGGCTGGCTGGAGTTGTGGGGATCAAACCACAGCAACCTGAGCCTGACTGCTTTGTCGAAGCAGCCATTTAAAGCACTGAGCTAGGGTCAGGCCCCCAATCTGCTGCTTTTTCATTGACTTGATCAATCTAATGTTATTCCTTGTATCTCCTAGCAGCTGCTGATTGATGTCTCGTGGTCCCTTGCTTTTTTAAAGAAATCTTTCCATGATTGCTAACCACAATTCTGTTGTCTATATCCCAGATTCTGTCCTCATATTGGCTCATTCGTCTGCGTATACTTTTGGTGGAATTTTTAATCTCCTAGATGTCTGTTTGAATCTGTTTCATGGATTCCA